TCGACAACCCCTATGTTACTTTGTAGCCAAATCGTGTATGCAGGGTCACTTTTGGCGGCTTTGTCCTGAATCCACAAAGCACCTGCCAGGGTTGGTTTTCCATTAGCCCTATATAGCCCCTATAAGACAAGCATGTATGCATCTACCCTCCAACATCCTCAGGTCTTTGCTGCAGAAGCACAACTGAAGCGGAAGGACTGGAGAGCCTTCCTGGAGGACTCAGACCATAGGTGTGATGCAGAGTGCTTCGGACCAGAGGCTAGGCTTACAGAAGTATAAGGGATATACAACGGTATATAGGGGTTATATAGGGATATGGGGAAAATAAGATGGAAACTACTGTATGGTGTATAGGGGTTATACTAGGATAATGGAAAAGAAAATGAAAAATTGCCCGACTTTTTGCAGAGGTCTTGAAATTCTCAGGTAGGAGGAATTGGGCTCGCTAACCTCCCTCGCCTGATGGACTCTATCTTGGGGAGCCAGCATAATGTGACCTTTATGAGGCAAAGGACCTTGGGGTTCATGGAACACGCGAGCGCGGAAACCAGGGGGAAAGAAGTCCTGGGGGCAGGAGTCAGGTGCCGAAGGCATTGCCGTGCCAACGAATGCCGCAGAGGGCTTGCAGGCCAATACATGCTTTGGGGCTATAAGGCTTAGAAGTATGATGCCCCAACTTCCGACAGCATGGGTTCAACGTAGAGCGATGCAGGGCTCCTACACTCCTTGTGTAGGCCCCTGACGCCTGCCAGCAAATACGGCACGGAGAATGGCTGCCTCCTGATCTAGCTTCCTTCTAGTTTCCGAGTCCTTCACTTAGCGCAGATCCTCCGCTGTACTCCACAGAAACCCGAAGACCAAACAATACCCGCATCTGCTTGGCTTTCATAGCCTAGCTTACCTTACCTTACGTTACAGTTCCCTGATTTGCCCCTAGTTAACCTTCCCTTACTCTACCCTACCTTAGCTGACCTTACCTTACTGTACCTTATGTGAATTTGCTGTTCCATACCCTTTGCGCTTTGAAGCGATCAGCCTGCATTGTATTGGGCGGGTTTTGAAGGCTTCCCTTAGGAGCATGGCACCCCATCAGCAGGTTCCTCAAACAAGGTACCTGTAGGGTAAGGAACCTAGGGATCTATACATACACATATATGTATGATATTTGTATAGGGTATACGATCGCCTCGCGGCTCAACCAAAATTCATTAACCTGAGAAGAAAGCCCATGCAGCCCCTCTGTTTGATTTGGGGAGGGTAGCTTCCTTCCGCAGGCAGCGATTCTGCCCTGCTTTTTGCATCCTGCCAGTGAATCAAGGCCAGAGAAAGCCTTCCAATTCCATACATGCACCCCTCCAATCAGGGTACCCCAATATAGACCCCAATATACTGGAGTCCGTATTATAGGGATCCCCCCTAATTTTGGGAAACTTCCCAGATCCGTTGAACAATCCCCAGCATTGCCCAAACCTGAACCCTAAATCCCGAAGATGAACCCTGAACCAAACCTCAAATGAGCTATAGTCTAAACTCCTTAAAGCGGGTTCTATGGGGGATTATATAGGGGAGTATTATAGGGCTCATCAAGCGGGAGACGAGGAGTTTAGACTATAGCTCAGATCTTGAATCCTAAGCCCTTGGCCTTAAACCTTACATGGGTAGTTCTCACAAGTAGGGCCCCATTTTGAGTACCCTTAAAAATTAGGTGCCATAACATGTTCCATCACCAAAACGGGCTCATGTTTTTGAGAACAACACGCATCTTGAATGAATTTCTAAGCTCATTTTGGAAGGCCCTTCAGCGAACTGTCATGGCCAAAGCTGCCATGCGGTGGGCAAAGGATCCCACTATCTCCTGTGCAGCTCGCCAACCTAAGTGAGCAGGTTAGGGTTTAGGGGTTCAGGGCTTAGGGACTTGAGGGTTCAGCGGGTATATGAGCTATAGTCTAAACCCCTAGTATCCCCCTATTAATAAGCCCTAGAATACTCCTATATATTCTTCCCTATATAACCAGGGTTAAGGAGTTTAGATTATAACTCATGTCATGGAAGCAATGGGGTGTAGGATTCAGGGTTTAGGCTTTCGGCTAGGAGAGGTAACCCTGGGGTCTACAGAGTATATAGTCCCCCTTAGGTAGATAGAATATGTCTCTGGGTATATTTTAATAAGATCTCGGGAATATAGGGTTATAAGGGTGGGCAGTGTTCAACTTCATAATTAGCGGGGAGAAGCATTGCTTTACTAGCTCTACTCAGTTAGTATTGTTCTAATAGGCTATGCTTCCAAGCGAATCTTCATTACGTATTTCTCACGTAAAGCGTGGATGCAAAAAGGGAGGGCTTCCTGAGATGACCTGAGAAACAAGCGTGTGGACTCACGCTATGGGAAACAGGGTGGGTTTTTAGGGGTTGTATAGGGTTATATTAGGTACCCAATATTTCCCCAATAATGGAGAATCAAATGGAAAAGAAAATGGAAATGAAATGGAAAATGGGATTATATAGGGGTTTGTTTAGATTGAAGATGCAGCAGAAGGCATGATTGAGCCGTTTGTAAGAATGCCTGCCAGTCCTCGACTTCAGCTTACTTGGGCCCTGATGCTTGGGGGTGGGGGAACTCTGGGGGTGAAGCCAGGTTCTAGCTGCTTGAACTCTGCTCCTGCGTATTCCCGACGCAGGTTGCATTGATGCCCTCCGAGCGGGTTGGTCGCCCTGCAAGCCCAGACGACGCCAACATGGACGTCGACTTCGTGCAGTTGGCGCACCTTCTTGTCTCAGGCAGGTAGCAGGGGCAGTTGCGGTAGCAGTGGTGGTCATGGGGATAGCAGTGGAAGAAATTTGCAGAAGTACTGGCAGAGCAGGAGTACTAATTCAAGGAGGAAGCATGACTTCACAAAAGCAGCAACAGTTGCAGCAAAGGCTGCAAAGGTAAGTGTGGTCGATGAGGATTTGCAACCTTACAGACATTCAGGGCTGGAGTTCCCGCTCAGGAGCAGGCTGCAAAGGGTAGACCTCGTGATATTCATTGAGTTGCAGTGCAATAGGGTTTAGGGTTTAGGGTTTAGGGTAAGTGAACAAAGCACAACAGGCGCTTGACATGTTGGCACGCTCTCCTGTCTTGATGTAGGGCGACTGTGACTGCTTGTCTTACGACCGCAGCAACGCCAGTCCCCTCCCCCAGCAGCCTTGACGCCCTTGACCATCAATATTCCGCCCAACATGTCATGGTACTTCATTGGAGGCAAATTTAGGAGGATGGGGGCTCCACTGAGGGGAGGAGATTACACAAATTGCTCCTACTGTGCTGCTGTTTGGTTCAGGGCCGAAGGCGCATGTCCTGGCCGTGCTTTTGGAGGGGCCCGCGCCGCCCGGCCGCTGAATCCTCAAATCTGGGCTTTCAAAAGAATTATGGGGCGCCCTGGCCACACGGGTGGAGTACATGCCTGCAATGCACACTTTCGGAATACAATGGAGGGCTATCATACCCTGACCTCCAAAACCACTCCTGGGCAGGGTACTCCAAGTGACTGGTGAACATGGCCAACGCAAAGTCAGAGAAAGGGTTGCCAGCTGAATGTTGCACTTGTTACCATCAGAAGCATTCTTTGCTTACTTGCTGCCAATGTAGCTAGTGCCAGGACGGGACCAGTATTGAAACCACTTGAACCATTCAAACATGGATTGTCTACAATGTCCCCAGTCAAAGGTTTCCTTGTATGTGCAGTTCGCGGGCTCTGCCTCAGAGTATGGCATGTTCCATCGAATGAATGCCAGCGAGGACAGCTACTATCAGAAAGCGTATGTGGTGAACCTATGTAAACCTTGCTGGATAGAACCATGCCCCCCAAATCGCATCGGAAGGCACCTGTCACGCTGAAGATGCAGTAGCACTATGTGCAGTCATGTAGACGTAATATCGCGCAGCTGGATCATGTTGGCTTTGAGCGATGGACGGAGGCATGTCGAGAGGTTCTGCTGGAGAAGATAACATGCAAAGCCGGGGTGCACTTGTCATTGGCGTCAATAGATATGACGACTCTGGCCTCGAGGATTTGAAGCAATGCTGTCACGACGCAGATCTAGTGGAATCCTGCTTGCTGGAGAGTCACTGTTCGATGCGCTAGATAGCATTGCAAAACAAACTCGCGCCTGTCTTTCAAGTCTCCTGCTATTGTTCTACGCAGGCCACAGCTACGAGATGATGGCATGATTTTCATGTGCCCATCAAATTCCAAAAGGCGCGAGGATGACATCTCGCTGGAATCATTCATCCAGCGGCTTTCAGACAACACCACGCTGGTGTGCGTTTTCGCCAGCTGCCAAACCAAACTGGAACTGTTGACCAAGGAGCCTGTCCTCCGACCATCTGCAGCTTTCCCGAAGCAGTGGTACACGAGCGCAACGGCCAGGTTTCGTGACGTGGTGGCTGCCATCCTGGGAAGGAACTCGCAGACGATGGGCTGTTTACTGCAATTCTCATCAAGCACATGAGGCGGCGTGACGTGGATGTGCAGGAAATGGGCAGGACTGTGACCCACGAAGTGTGCCAGGCAACACAGCATCGCCAGTGGCCGCTGAGTATATCCAACCTCGACAAGCCTCTTTGCCTCCTGCCGGCGCAGCCAGATGCCATCAAGAAAGCAGATGCCCGTGGTTTGCTGGACAACCTTGACGTTCAAAGGTATGTTGGAGCTGTGCGCCTCGTAACGCGCGACGCGGACCCGGACACTGCTGACTTCAACTGGGCCTGCCGATGGCTGTGTGGGTTGCCGAAAGTTGCAAAGCATTACAGACGAGCACAGCCCCTGCACATCCTGCAGATTTGCAATGAGGCGAGGATTGCCATACACAACATATTGGATAATGACAGGAGAGCCGCAAAAGTTCCTGCCCTGCTACTGCTGTCATACCTCGATGAGTTGGAAGCGCGTCTGATGATCGTCAGAGGCGAGTGCGACCCGCCCTTGCCGTCAGCTGCACGGCAAGTTAGCAGGTTGGAGTGCAGCAGGTGCGTCGGCGCAATCACGTCCTTCTTGGACACCTTTGAATTCGATGAGTTTATAGCTGCAAAAGCTCTGCTTCTGCTCCAGCTATACCATCAGCAAGTGATCGACGAGGAGCCCAGCCTGTCGCATTACTCCCAGGCCAAGTTCATGGCCAGTCAGGCAGCGCCTTTGTACATAGCAGTCGGTCTTCCGGAGGGTGCCGCAGGCATTCTCATGGACTGCAGTTGGGGTGCAGTGCAGATGAAGCTTCTTGACCGCAACGGGATGCAATCCCTTGCTGACAGGCTGGAAGTTGTGATGCTCTCTTTCAAAGAGTGGGACCTGCCAGACTTCCGGATGCAATTTTACGAGCTTGTCGGCCTGACGCAGCTAGCATGTTTGTACAGGGGCCTTCAAACGCAGAAGAAGGCGAGTCAGTGCTTTCCAAAGCTTAAGCAAGCGCTGGCTCATCCAAAGCAGTGGCTTAGTCGCGCATGCAAGGCCCGCAACCTTTTAGCAGCGTGGGACATCAAGATCGATGATCCATGATGGATTTGTACATAGTTGACATCCTGCGCGCCCTTGCCGTGCATGACTCCAACCAAAACAAGCCAACCCAAACCGACCCAGACCGCAACTAGTCCTTGCCTCTCAGCTTGGTTCTGGGTGCTGCCAAAGATGTTGTGCCTGGCGCTTGTTCAAGCTGCTGCTGGAGCCTATTCCCGGGGAACTTGCAGGTTGAAATCATAGTATGTGTTTACAATCTTTTTAGGCACATCCATGGTCGCGCAAGCAACCCTGCCCTTCGTGAATTCCGGAGTCACGAACATACCGGAATACCCATGCTGGAGTTTAGATAAGTAATCTACAGACTGTAGCAACTCCTCCCGTGGGGCCCCATCAAATTGTGATAGTTGTACCTCTTGAGTTTGGCGGTGGTGGATCACCGCAGCCCGCCACCGGCGCCGGCAGAAGCTCGCCCATCAGAGCGGTGCATCTAAGGTTCCGCTGCCCAGAGTCTGTCGGTCTGGCTGCCGAATTCCGTGCAGCCCGGGCCGAGGTCTTCTGGGTGGAGGCCAGAGATTGGGATAACATGGGGGTTTACATGACAACTATAAACGCATACGGGGAACACTGAGATTATGCAGGGATGCTGTAGGGAAGCGTTGCGACAATGTTGCAAAATCCCTAGAACCGCAGAGGTGTCAAGGTTCAGGTACCTTTGGGTTCAAAGCCTGCCATAAAGGCGGGCGGATATGGAAGTTCTCACTCGCAGCTTGCCTAGCGCGTCGTCTCCCGAAGGAAGGAGCCAAAAGCTGTACGCTAAGCTTTCAGGTCAGGCAACTGGTGCATGGAGCTTCTTATGGATGGTTCACAAAGAACCGAATGAGTTTCTTATAGGACATGAGGCCTGAAAGGCCTAATTGCCTTGGTTAGCCTCTGACCTGATGTTGCGTGCGCCTGATGTGTCTCTATGGGTAGTACGTAATCTAGCCTGAATCAGTAATAAAACCCTGCAGAAAGCAGGGCCACGTATCCTTTTCAAGAGAGGCCCAACTTGCTGGGCCGGATTCCCTAAGCTGCATAGGTTCAGTGGTTCGGTTTTCGAACTCCACGGATGCGCGCGGTCCTGCCTCCAAATTCTGGAGCTGACGGTTGCTTGGCATACTGAAGGGACATGACAGAGCAAAATGAGGGTTCGCATGGATTTGCGTCTATTGCAAATGCTTAGATGTCACTGCTGCTGCTACCTATTAATCCTGCTGCTATGTGCAGGAGGAGGATGAGAAGCAGCAGCGGCAGTGAACCAAAAACAGAGCCTGGTGCTTTCCGAAACAGACTTACTTAGTTACAAATCCGGGCAAACTTTGACTTTACAACCCTGCAGCCAAAAAAAGCTTGGCCACGGTTCTCCCTGTCGCTCTACACCGTACCCGTTAGTGTGAGGGTTTCCATAAATCTGCGGGTGCCGCTGTAGACCCAAACATAGTACAGTCCTCACAATGAAGGTCTGCGTTTATCAAGAGCGTTCAGTTCCTGAGCCCCGTATATTTATAACCATTACTATAATTTTGATTTAGCCTGAGCTCCACGGCTCTCAATCAAGGATGGGTGGAGCCCATTTCAGAGGAAGAGGCACACATGAGCAAGCTGAAGAGATGTCTGGGTTTCCCCCAAGATGAGGGGTACTGTTCTGGGGGCCCCACCATAATAAGGATTTAGCGTTTTGGAATATATCTTGGAGTCCCCTGTTCAGAGAAACTACCATGTCTGGATCATGGGCTGGCCTTGAATGGAAGAAGCTCATTGCAGTAGAGCTGGTTTGGTAGATTGATGCTTTGAGGTCCTGCGGAGCCATTTCCGCTACAAACTGGAACCCCTACACCCTTAGCCCCTAAACCCTGAACCCCTGAGCCCTTAACCCTAAAGCAGGAAAGAGGCCCCCTGCCCGACATCACGCACTTGGTTGGGCGCCTTCGTCTGCCACTGGCCTTTGGTTAGCTAGGAATGAAGGAATGGATCCTTCGAGTAATACCTATATAACCCATCATAATAGTTTCACGTAGTAATCCCTATATAACCTATTATGGTAGTTTCAATGTTCTTTTCCATTCCTCCATTCCCAGGTAACCAAAAAGGTAAGGCATGTCAGCAGCCGTGAGCAAGCCTTGGAAGTTGCATCGGCGTTTTGCAGCAAGCACTACTAATACTCGTAACAGTAATTTAAAGTTCTGATAACACTAGCAAGAATATCATGTTAATTAATAGTAAGAACATAAAAATCAGCACGAAGCTATGTTTGGATCCTCGTGCTGCAGTCTAAAGCCCTTACCCCAGAACCATCGAAAACCTAGCGAGGGGCCAGATGGGAGCCCTTGGGTTTCTCCTCACATCACCCAGCTTCACTCCCCTCGAACCTTTGACGTAGACGAGGCATCTTTTCAAGTACGGTTTCATGGAGACCCCGCGGGATGCGTTGGCGCCAGCTGTTGCAAGGCACGGGCAGTCAAGGAGCAAAGCTCATAACACGCACATCGACTCTGACATCCGGGTGTTGGTGCGCTGCAGTGGGCTTCTTGAAGTCTTGCCGAGCCCCATAAAATGTCAGACACAATGGACTTCATGGCAAAAGGAAGACGTAAGCAGCTGCACTCCATCCTACTTGTGTCCATCTTGCCTACTTCTTTTTCACTCCTCAAGGTGAGGAGCTCCTGGACTATGCAGGAAGTACGTGTTATACCTCAGGTGGTCCCCTCATTAAGGGACACGAATGGGTAACTACAGTGTCGTAGGGACCGTGCATACATGTAAACAAATACCTATTTGTTTTCTGTCCAGGAAAGTGCATTCCTGTCATGCCGCACTAGAGTGTGGGGAACACCTAAACCATTCCGGGGTGTCACATTGAGAGTTTTCAAAAAGGGGGGCCCCGGTGATTACCATATCTGCACCCTAAGATATGAGAGTTTCCAACAATTAGCAGTACTATTTTGGGAGTCCCTATAACAAGGAACATAGTATTTAAGGGTCTTTCCTGGGGTCCTCCTAAATAGGGAAACTAGCATATTCTAATATTCTACTCCTTGTCAGTCAGACCCCTTCCAACTCTCTTTCAGGTTCTGGCACCGAAATCTGCAAAGCTCAGATCTGACGGTGGCTGGGCAGCATGGCTCAGTGTCAGCTTATGGCTGCGAAAGTTTTGTTCAGGCTACTGCGCGACAAAGCAGGTAAATGTTCCAGCTATCCTGCCTCTAACGTCAGGTACAAAGAATACTCAGAAATCGCCAGGAGATGCCCAAATGGGCCCTTACTTCTGAAAATCCACGTCTTGTTGCGTCAGACTGCCTTCGCCTGCGGCCCGTGGCAGCAAAGCCACATTCCATGCTCAAGCTTGCAGATGTAGATGCTTTTGCAGGCTTATGAAGCCATTGAAAGGTTGACCGTGGGTGTTACCCGAGGTGTGGCCCGCACAGTATCCGCTGCATCAGTTGAACGACGCTTTGGGCCACTTGTCGGGCCCAGGCTTTGCTGCATGTTCCTCGAGTACTTCCAGGAATAGGGCCCCCTTCTTAACCTCCAAAGTGCCTAGCATCCTATTTTTTGACCCTCAAGAGAATCACATTTGACAGGGCCCCAACCCTGCACCCCAAGTAACCGTATGCCTCACTCTTGCACCCCAAGGTGTGGTGGATTGCTGGGTGCATTTCTCTCCAAACACGGGAGCACATCCCTTTAACGCCTTTGACCCTAGGCTGTAAGTCGCACAATTATTTAATGATAGAGCATAGGTTAGGTAGTGGACCCCAATATAGACCCCAATATTCTATAATCCTTATTATAGGGACCCCTAAAATGGTACCCCTAAATTTGGGAAACCCCTATATCCACATGAACCACCAGTTTCCACTTTCGTGTCATTCCCGACAAACAAGCAGTAAATCTGACCGTGCCCAGGCCAACTCGGCCAGGATGACTGGCACTCTCTGTGCCAGGCCTTCCGCAGCGTTAATGAGTGGTTGTCAAAATTATGGTCCCTTTTTGGGTACCCTAAATATTAGGTGCCGTCTTATAATAGGGACCCAAAAAGGGACCATAATTTTGACAACTATCCATATAACCCATTATAGTAGTTTCCATTTTCTTATCCATTATCCCCCATATAATATAACCCCAATATAGCTCAATATTACCTTAATGGGCACCATAATTTTAACCACCCTAATGTCAACAGATACACCTCGGAAAGTTGCCTTTTCTGGGTTTCTTTAGTACAGTCGCAGCTCCTGCATCTCTCGTCTTAAGAGGACGTGAAGGAGGGAGGTGTCTGGAACCCTGTTAAGGTCACCGCTTGAGGCACCGCTTCTGAGACCTGGAGGGTATTCTTACACGTATAACAGGCCTCTTTGTCTGAGTGTGAAGATTCTATCCAATGAGAGGTTGTGCTGTTTCCGACTCGTGGAATCTACTTAGCATGTTTACCCAACTAACCCCATATGCTATCTTCCTGGGAAAACATGTCCTGGGTTTGGTATATGCTAAAAGGAATTGCAGGCTTATGCACTGCACACACCTCTTGGATGTACGGTACAAGAAGCGGAAGTCCCGATATATTGGGATGTCCGGACTCTGTAACAGCTGCATGTGGTCTGGTTCGGGTAGGAACGAACACATGTTTTGCTTGCTTACAGCCACAAGCCGTGGCAAGTGCAAGTCAGTGGGGGCCGTATGCAGGTCTACTGGTTATTGGGGTTATATGGGGATAATGAAAAAGAAAATGGAAACTACTATAATGGGATATATAGGGTATATATTGGGGTTATTGTGGGGTATTATTGGGATAACGGAAAAGAAAATGGAAACTACTATAGTATATTGGGGCAATATTGGGGTACAGATATTACATTCTGGTGTTTGGGGACTTCACGCTGAAGTCACTTCCCACGCGTGCACAACTCCAAGCATCGGTGAGGAGACGGCCTTCGTGCTGCCCATTGGCAGCAAGACTCGGTCAACGAAGGACCTAGCGCCAACTGTTTCTCAAGCGCAAA